TTGAGATGGAGTGAGAGCAGGAAGAGTTGGGCTGGGGTGTGGCATGGAGGAAGGGGTGTGGTGGGGGTGGGACGTGGGATTGAGCACCCCGAGGGACAATTGGAAACCAGCAGGTGTCATTAGAAACATGCCAGATCCCCACACAGGGAAGGGAGGACTCCTGAATCATAAGCACTGGAGTCCAGCAGTCAGAGGCCATGGTGTAATTCAGAGTGTGTATTGCTGACATGTGAATAACTATTATTCTTTGCAGAGTCACAGACACAGAGGTATGAGAGATGGAAAAGCCCCATTATCTCAGGGAATCCATGACCCTGGGCCAGGGCAGGGCCTCTCTTCCCCATATTTGCAATATCCCTTTCCTAGGATCCCCTGTGTGTGTGTCAGATGGGACTGAAATTCTTTTGTCTCTCTCTCTTCTAGGATATTAGAAGCACCTTGCGCAGGTACGTGGCTCACTCTCACTCCCCCTCACACTTCACAATGCTGGGAAAGAGCTTGGTGGTGATGTTAGCACTGCATCTCCCCAGGGCTCTACAGCAAAATGTGTGGGGAAGGTCACATGTTGGATACGAATTTCTCTGATCAACTTCATCCTGAGGTTCTCACCCTTGTATAGAAGACTCTGGAATTCTCCATTCAGTGGGAAAGACTGACCTCAAGTATTTCCTAGGGATGTCACCTCCCTGAGGGACTGGCTGCTTCAGGATTGTGGGGATGGACTATGGGCCTGTCACTGCTGGGCACTGGTCAGTATTCAGCCCAGGGCAGCAGTGGTCAAGAGTGTTTCGTACCTGAGGGTTGTTAGGAGACCTGTGTGGAATGAGCTGGGGAGGGGGAAGTTGGTGTCTCAGTCTAGTTCCTAGAGGGCAGATTTCTACAGCACTTCACCGGGGAACCTCCTGTCCCTCAGAGCTTGGAGGCCAAGGAGTGAATTGGCCATGGAGACTTGATTCCTCTTTTGTCCCCAGAGCTGATCTGTCCCAGACCAGAGTTGAAGAATATTAATGAGTCCTTTGAAGGGAAGGTTGTAAGGCCATGGGCTGTGCTGTACCTGCTCTGAGGCTGGGAGAAGTCAAGGAATTAGAACTCCAGGCCCATTAGAGCAGCAACTCACTAGCCAGAATTTATAATGAGTCACTACATGAAATATAATCATGTGAAATTGTTTCTCTCCAGGTGTGAGAAGGGGAAGTTCCAGCAGCCAGAGAAGATTTCTCCTGAACTGGAAGAGCGAGTCAGTGGTTTCTCTCAGAAAATGATTGTGCTATTGGAGACTCTGGGGAAGTTCAAAGGTACCTAGAAGGGATCTAGGAATGGAAATTGGGATGAGCTGCTGAGAATGAGGGAGGCCAGTGGCTCTGGCCAGTTGGTTCACAATTAGATGATGCTTCTATTTCATTGTTGGGTGAGAATGTCATGCACTTGGGGTCAAAGTCACTCAGGTTGATTAATGCAAACCTTTATTTCTACCAAAAATATGTCTTGCCATGACAATTACTGTTAAAGAAAGAAATGACTCAGACTCATCGACTTTAAGGCCAAAAGGGACCATCATGATCATCCAGTCTGACCTCCTCCACATTGCAGGCCACAGAACCTCACCCACCCACTCCTGCAATAGATCCCTAACCTCTGACTGAGTTACTGGAGTCCTCAAATCATGATTTAAAGATTTCAGGTCAGAGAATCCACCACTGACACTAGTTTAAATCTGCAAGTGACCCATCCCCCACAACCACAGAGGAAGGCAGAAATCCCCCCAGGCTCTCTGCCAATCTGACTTGGGGGGAAATTCCTTCCTCACCCTAGATACGGTGGTCAGTTGGATACCGAGCATTTTGGCAAGACCCAACAGTGAGACCCGCGGCAAAGAATTCTCTATAACTCAGAACTGGCCTCGTCTACTGCCCCATCACCAGCTATGGGGCACATTTCTCACAGGTGCACCCAGCCCATCACTGCGCTGTGGTCCCATACGGCAGCTAGTCTGGGCCAAATGGGCTGCAGGGAAGGAGAAAACTCCTCCCCCATGGTCAGGGATCCCTCCAGTACAGGAGCCTCTTGTGCCTCCTCCACAGCAGCTGCAGGGACAAGGCGGGTTCCTGAGAGGGCTGGGAATGGGGTGGGGGTGGTGAGGGTGGATGGAAGAGGAAGGGAGGTAGACAAGGGACAGAATGACATGGGC